AAATGTAATAAACCGGTCCGTGTTTTTTAGACAAAGGTCTCCCAAAGAAGTTGACTTGATTGAAATGTCCCCAAGGCAGTCTAGGTAGCTCGCCTGACATTCTCTTTCCTTCAGTGTTCTTCCATGGTACACGCAGATAAACCAAACAAAGCTACAGTTGAGGTAATAAAGATGAACGGTATTCAGATAAACGTTAGAAAATGTTTATCATTCGATGTTTTAACAAAGTCAAGTCTACTAATTTAAAATGAGGTTCAACAAACTCGGCAATTGCTTGGCTGCTTTTCACATGCACTGTATGGAAAAGGACCCCTTTCTCCTGAGCATCCCCTCTATTTACGCGTTAATCACATAGATGTAACTACACACAAACTGGAGATCTCAAAAATGTATTTGGAACAATGGAAACGCCTTGGATTGAGGCACTTTATATGATTCGGTTGTCTTCGAGTCGGAAAAGGATCGCAAACGAAGAAAGATTGTTTAAACTCGTCAAGATTATCGTGTTTCTCTGAAGAAAAATTCGCCAGAAATAATTCTCATGTCAGTGCATTCCTGAATTCCTTCGAGGAATTTACTTTCTCGTAATTTAAACAACACTATGACAATCCCGGGAACACTACCCTTATTTGGGCTAAAGGGTTTGTCGGCCGCTAAACTGGGTATGGTTCAGGTTTCCAGTCTTAGGACGCTTAATAAAAGTTAGAACTGGCCGGCCATACCGGTCATTTTGAAAATAAAATGTTGGTATTTTCTCAAAATTTCTCTAAAACCTAGCACTGCCAGAAAATCTAAATCCATGATCTTGATTTAATTATGTATGTGAAGCGATATGAATGATGGTCATTAATTAATGAGGCTCTTGTCTCAAACAAGGTAGAGAAATGAATGTACGATTTTTCTCTTAAACAGGTTCAGGTTTCCCTTCAGCGCCCCCACCACCGGGTGCTGGAAAATCCGTGATTGCCTCACGAAGAATAGAAAGCAAGCAAGAAAGACTAATCATTGGAGGTACGAGAGGAGTGTGTCACTGACATGAAAAGGCTTCAATTCGTTACAAGGTGCTGTGATAAAGCTACAGGTCTGAATGATTCATCGCATTCGGACCAATTCGTGCTTATTTCCTAGCTGTTTATTGTGCAAGTCTTACTGTTGTACCTTGCGAAACCACCGGTTTTATATCTGAAGTATTCTCTTGTTTCGTGTGCAGATACTAATAATGTCGCATGGAAACTGGGGATTTTTCCAGAGGCTTGGTTGTTTCTTATCAACCTCGTCCCCAGGACGCTTTTGCCTGGCTTTGGAGGTGGGGCGCGATAGCGACCGCGCCCTTCCTCCAAAGCAAGGGAAAAGCGCCCTGGGGACGAGGTTGGTTTCGTATGGAGTTTCGATACAGTCTTTCGGAGAACATACCAACGTTTTTTAATCGCCTTTAAAGTGATTTTTGTCCTTGTCCGACGTTATGCTAATTCTTCCAAATTAATGCCCACCATACATACCTCCATGGCTAGTACATTTCAATGTGAATATTGTCAATGTTTTACGTTCAAAATATGCAAAACAGTGAATGTTGTAACGCGGGTTTTTGGCCGGTTCGTACGCTAGGTTTCTCTTGAAATTTCAAGATGTTGCAGTGAATCAAACTTGATGAAAGTTTCATGCAATGTTATATACATCATGAAGATTATGTGATGAGGTTTAAAAAGAATTCTGTCGAGCCATTATAGAGATAATACAGAAAAGCGCTAAAAGCCAAAATTTTGAGTAAAGTTGCACTTAGATAGGTGGTGAGAAAACAGGTTGTTAGTTTTCAGGATCGCAAGAAAGAAAATACACCAAAATTTCCCAGCATCGGAAAATATTAAGCAGCCTTCTAACGCTACTTAAGATTAATGTGAGTTATTTAGAACTTTTTTATTAAACATTTTATCACGGCTATTGAAAATATAAGGTTGGAAATATATTTGCGTTTTATTTGGATTCAAAGATACAGAATTTTTAACTTTTCGCGGAGGTTCTTTACTAAACACCACACTTCAAGTTCCTGGCGTAGGGATTTTCAGAAGCAGGTCTGTCCTGAAATTCATCCGATTGCTTCGAGTCGTTTTCTTCTCTCTGAGGGAGTAATAACGACTCA